AAAGTAAGAGTAATAAAATCATAATGCAAGCAAACATAGCACCCAATACAAAGAAAGACAGAAACCAGAACTCAAATTAAAAAACACAAACCCTCGGACACGGCACAACCCTACACCTCCTGGAGCCCACAAGAGGGCGGGCCCATGTTGCTCTTTTGGAGCTCAGACTATCAACCATTAATTAGAGATATTTTGTTACTTAACAAGTGCACTATTTTTGGGGGGGATCACACCTCATTTGTACTTTGCGCTTCACTTGACTTGAATATTCAATTAAGGATGTTGTTTTAAACTGTTCTATATGTTTCTGCCTAAGTAACAGATATGAATACTTTGTCCATTACGGATAGACTCTTTGCATTCTCATAAATTCAATCTAAGAGCTTTACTAAATACAATTAAATGTTTTAAAGTTTACTAAATATTTCCTGCACTTCCAGCTGCTGTTGAGAGAAAAAGTGCAGTTCGGCAGTCCTGTTATGGTCAGTGTAGACTCAAAGAGTCAAAATATGACACTTCCCTCTTTAAAAAATGGTGAGTTTAAGTTAATGGGAGCAAAAATATGATGAATTGTAGAGCAGTGTTACCCAACATTTACTACACCCTCTGTTTTTCAGTTTGTGATGAGGAGCCTAACGGAACTATAAAGGAATGTGGTAAGACACTTTCAAAACCCAGGTGTAAAATGCAGGCCTGGTAAAAAACGGTTTTACACCATTGAGTGAGTTGATCCAGCCAAGTTCTAATTTATGACTATTGAAACTAAGGTCCCAGACTCTGTGTGAAAGATCAGGGGAGGAATGTCAAACTGCAACTTGTAAAAGCTGATGTCAGACAAGGAGATGCAATCACATGGCAGATGGTTTGGGATGAAATTCCTGCAGAACAGCATGAATGGGTGGGTCAATATTTTGTTCTGGTAATGCAAAATCAACATCATGCATGTTTATTTGTTTAACTTTGTTTTCATCTTTGGCAGCCTAAAGGGAAGGATGAGGTGGTCATTCCATCAGACTTTGTTGCACCATGCCTGTGCTTCCAGGTAAGCTAAAATATTAAGTGACAGCTAAGCTATTGGCAAATACATAAATATATATATATAATATAATAAATATAAAATTATTTACAGGCATGGTGGAAGGGATCATTAAGAACACAAATCTGCCCCTTCAAAAACAATGAAGGTAAATGGTGTTGCCTGACATCAACTTCAGAAGACATTTGCATGGGACATTAATTTTCAGACATGGAGAATTGCATGTTGTTGTTGTTGTTGGGTTTTTTTTAGGTGCACTCGAAAATATGCAGCACAGTGTGTCTGCAACTTTGGTGGAGTCTCAGCTGAGGGATGGTGGCATAGGGCTGATCTGGAATGTAAGTGCGCCGTGTATACTGGAAGCAGAGGTGTGGCTGTGCAAGAAAGACCAGGTGGGAGGCCAGTGTGAAGAGGTGATGGGTTCCAGACAGAGACTACAAGCTAAATGGGATGAACGAAGCAACAGATACTTGGTAAAAACAGCAAAAATACTGAGTGTGATGTAATGTAGTTTTCATGAGCCACTATGTTATAATTTTAGAAATGACTGCTATGAGTCAATATATTCTTTTCACTGTGTCTCCAGAAAAACAATGCATTGTTAGCACCAAAATAAACTTTAAACCTTATAGTCAGAAAAACGCAGAAACAAAGAAGCAAATAGGATTTTTTCCCCTTCTTCCAAATGTAACAAACCAGACATAAAGCAGACAGCAAACAGTCAGTTAAGATTATTTTAATAACTGGAGTCTTATTTCTGACCATCTTCCTCATTTTGGGTTTAACTTCATACAGAGCTGCCTTGTTTGCCTTGAAATATCTCTGTCATGAGTCACTCAGTTCAAACCATCCTCTGCCCTTTTACGTAACTCAGACAAACAGATATCTACAGAAGAATGGCGAAACAGTTCCAAGCTTGATTCATCTCAAGAAAAGAAAGAATGTGTCCAACATTTAAGTAGATATTCAGTTGTACTAGAATTTGAAGTCTCAACATGAAGTTTTAAGGCTTAATTCAGTTTGGGGGGGGGGGATTTTTAATTCAACTCTAAAAATACAGTTTTAAACGAGAATGTTTAAAGTGACTGGATTAGCCAATAAATTACCAGAAGGTTGATTTAAACACACCAGAAATTTAGACATGCATAAAAAGCAGAACCTTGGGGGAATGTGAAGCCATGATGCTTTCTTTTATCATGATCACATAAAAGAGATCACATTCATGAGCGGTGATCTTACAATATCAGAACTAGATGGAAAAACAATTTGTAACAGAGGTTTTATAAATGTCTTGAGAATGCAAACTTTCTATTTTTGTTTTGTTTCTTTTAATCCTTGAAATATTTAATGTTTGTGCATCATCCAGTGCCCCAATGTGTGGGAACAAAGCTTTTACAAAAATGTTTTCAACTGGCTGCAAGCGAATGACAGAAAAGAAAAATGCAAGTCAGGTGATGCGTGAAGAGCCTCTGTCAGTTGCATTTGTTGATTTGAATGCATTTTGTTCTGTTATGATGGTTCACTGAAGTCAAAAGGATCGGTGATGAATCTTCTCTTTGTTCTTTATCGCTCTTTATTGGCTGTGATTAACGATGACTTTTCTTTGAACCCTTCAGCAAACCGGAGAGTTCGATGTGCCATCTCACCCTCTGCTATGTGTTCAGGTGATGCTTCAAACATAAAATTATTCATGAAACTGTGAATGCATTTATCACTATACAGACTGTGCTAACATAAACTCCTGCCTTTATTGTTTTAGATGAAGATTAACGGGACAAAATCACTCTTAGAGCCCCAGTGTCCGTTTGCCAGTAAGACTGCATTACTATCTATTAGATTAATGGATTAATTAATTTTTTTCAAGCAACATCTAAAAAATCCCACTTTCTTTCATTACTATGTATCAAATAAGTAACTACATAGTGACCTTTCATTTTCATATTTTTACAGCATCTCGATTGCGATGGAGCCTGGTGCTCATCATTGGATTACTACTCGTGTGTTTAGCAATACTGGGAGCATATTTGATACAAGGGATTCTACAAGGTCAGTTTCCAGTTCAAGTGTCACTGAAAAACAGAATAATTGAATGAGTGGTCTTAAATATCTTGAAGGCATCTTTGTTTTCCATACAGGCTATGTTTGGAAGTGGCTGAAAGACGAAGATGTTAAAGGTAGGAGAAAGCCTGACGTTAATTTCACACTGGGCCACCAGTATTTCCACATTCCTTGTTTTCATGTTTTTGTTTCCAAGCTTACTTGGCTTGACTTTTATGCCTTAATCTTGATTTGAGTGATAATTCTCTGTAGATTTCTTTGAAATACTGATTGTAGCCATTGACATCTGCTATTTCAGGGGCTGTGGGCGGTGTTCATGTTGTGTTGCTGTACCCACCTGATGATAACCCTTGCCTGCCAGAGCTGTTGTGTCATTTGGGCTCATCTCTCCAATCGCTGGGCTTTAGTGTGTCTCTAGACCTGTGGAGCCACGCTGAGCTCAGCATGCTGGGACCTGTGCCATGGCTCCACTCACAACTTGATCAGCTGCAAAGGCAAGGGGGCAAAGTGGTGCTAGTCCTAACCCAGGCCTCCTGGACAAAGACTGAAGAATGGGGAGCTCAGCGCTCAGAGAGGAAAAGACATGTGGAAGAAGAAGAGGCAGGAAGAGATTACCCTGGGTCTTCTCGCTGTGCAGATGTTTTCAGTGCTTCACTGAGCTGTGTTCTAGCAGACTACTTACAGGGCCGTGCTGGCGAACGGTTTATGCTGGTGCAATTTGAATCCTTTCCACCTGAGCCCCCAGGTAGTTTCCGACCGCTGCCAGAACTTTTCCGAGGCCTGCACGTCTACAGCCTTCCATCCCAGAGCCTGGGTTTCCTGACTGAACTGGCTGGAGCTCGTCAAGTAGCTACTGCATCAGCCAGACGGAAAAGAGCAGGGGGGCTCAGGATGGCATCCCGGGCCCTAGCCCAGAGACTGTCAGCATTCACAACAGGGTCAAATGTATTACGCCTTGTGGGAGTGCATCAGAGTTG